GTTGTCCCGCATTCTGTTCAGACCAACTGTGACTTCTCATAACTTTACCTTTCCAGCAGTTGATGTTACATCTCGATCCACTTGTTACCCAGTGCAGTTCTTTGCTGTCCCCTGTGTATAAAGCACCATCAGCTGAAATCAAGGCAAGAGCTCACCATGTGTAAGCAACACAGTAACCCTGGGATTTCATCTTCCTGGTTGCATCAAAAATCTATGTCCATGATCTGAGGAGGCAGTGAGACTGTATTTTAGCTGAGACAGCATGTGACGTTCACCAGAAAATCTCATGATATCAGCCCATAACTTTAAAAATAAAGTTGGGACCAAAACTCTTCATTTGGGTTGGTCAGAAGCGATAGGTGATCATTAGTGGCTGACTTGTAGGAGTAAAGCTGGGTACCTCAGGGCCTGGTTGCAAACGCTTTGCTCCTGCTGACGGCAAGAAATCAGCGCACTGCCTCCGATCCCGAAAATGGGTTGTATCGGGAGTAACCAGCGCCAAGAAAACTAGCGTGGAAAGGGAAGCAGGAAAAGGCAGGGAGACGCCCGCGTGCCGAGCGCTGCACAGCGCCCGGGGCCCCATGCGGGCACCGCCGACCTGCCCCGCGGGCAGCCGTGTGGGCGAGATGCTCCYGCTCGCGCGCTGAGGGACGAGGCCCCTTCTCCGCACCGGACTAAGCCTTTGGAATCTGTACCGTGATTCCTGACGGGAAGCGGCTTCGCTGCCGAGGTGGGAACGTCACACCTGTCTGGCAAAGCCTCGTGCAGGACAAGGCAGGGGGGAAACCCAAGCCGACACCCATTGAAAGGGCGGGCGGTGGTATCCATGGATCTACAAAATTCCAGGCATGTTGGCAGAAAGGACGACTTGGCTGACGTTTAGCTTGGTCCAAACTATAGGCTGCAAACGTCTGAACCGTTTTATAAGGATGTTGGCTTGGCTTTGCAYGGCTTTTATAAGCTACTGTTCAAGTCACTGCATAGGAAGTGTTTCTGCAATACTAAATTARGCTGAATTCCGGGAAGTTTTCATGAAATCTTTAAAGTTAGTTTGGTGACATAAGCGTAGAGACCCAAAGCAACTCAGACTTCAGTACTTACAAGGGTAGATGTATTTCCATTTCACTCTGGCAACAAACCCGAATTCATGCTCTTTATCCCACATCTCCAAGGGAAAACAAAAGGGAACCCTTGCACTCGGAAACCAGGCACCAGCCGCCCTCCCGTTGTGCTTCCCTGCAATCCAAGGATGCTGCAGGTCACCACAACTGGCTAAYCTGCCCTTCTACTAAATGTATAGCYCTGCAGCGCAGGAAGCCTCTGTATGTGCATACACTATTTATATAGAATGTAACGTATATGCCGGAAATAGTTCCCAAAAGTGATTTTTGCAAATCCAGTGCCTAGGGAAGAGATCCAAGCTCACTTAGCACTGCTAATCGTGAAGCTGATTGAATTAGTAACACTGAACACAGTTGCTAAATTTATTCTAACTTTCAAAAATAAGCTCTAACTGGTTTTAAAAGGCAAAATTGAATTTACTGAAGTAAGCCAAACTGTAATTTAAAATAAGTAATCTAGCTGCATTTCCTCTAGTCTTTTAAATATGCTTGAAGCTCTCAGATTTGTGGGAATGAGAGCTATAGGTGCTTATTAAAGGTAAGGAGAAGCCAAGCAGCTGCATTGTTTTAATTTTTGTACTCTAGGAAAAACCCAGACTTCAGCTGGCAATTCAGATTAACTGCTTGCCCTAATCCCCATTCCTCACCAAAACCTGAATTCTACAAGCACAGTTTTTAAGGAAGAGGAATCACTGAGGAACATGATAATTGAATACGGCATTTGAAAACAAAATTTCATTTTAAAAGAAGTGCTAGAGTGCTATGTTATACTTAACAACGGTGCATTTTAACTCTCCTTGAGCATGGCAGATAGCAATGATTTTTCTGTCCCTCAACATCCAGTCACAAAAATACTTTGTTAGGAGTGAATCATAAACTAAATTGAAGTGGTTTTTTTTTATATATGTGTTTTCTTATTCACTTTAGGTGATAAATATGTTTGATGTTATTGAGTTGATTGTCCTTCAGTAGTCATTGCCACCTCTGCATCAGCGCAGCATCCAGCTGTGCCTTTCAGTAGGGCCTGGGTCATGAGTTTTATGGTTAAATGGAAGAGTATCAGCAACATTTTATGTTATTTGGATTTTTTTTTAAGTACAAAATAGTGGTCGAGAGAGAGAGGGACTTCAAACCCGTCACACAACAGAGCAAAGTGGTGGGGCTGGCCCCCGATCCTAACACACAACTTGCCGCCCGGATAACGAGGTCCCGGTCGGATGCACGAGCGGTTTGACCACGCGGCCAGCTCCAGGATTTGAGGCATTACTCGTGTTTGCAGCTAGAGCAGCAGTGCAYGGGAAGGTGCTCAGGTGCTTCATCACAAACCCTTCTCAGAGCTGGCCAGGGTTTTGTTTTAGTTTTGTATTCTGAAACTCTTGGGTGAGTCGTCCTTACCCTTCCTTCCGTGATTCCTAGACCTGCAGCAAGGGGATACCACCCATTTTACACTGGAAATCCAGGCTAGTGGCTGCCCAACGAAATGGAAGCTGTTTAAAAGTATTTATTTACATTTATTTATATATTTAATATACAGTAATGAGAGACAAGCATGTGAATGTTTGTGAAGCAGGCCAGACATTGGAATATTTCCAGTTGTTGTCAAGAACGCTGGCTTTACTATTCAGAACTTACCTTGCATGTTATACCTAACTGAAAAAAGGCTTAACTATTTCAAAATAGCTTTCTATTCTCCCCTGTAAATCAGTGACAGCGAAAGTGGAAAAAAAAACCACACTTTAACTGGAGTTTTCTAAATGGCCAGTTCAATTCAGTCACTGCAATACACCATGAAGCGTTAGGATTTCCTTCCTTTCAGTGAGGAAAAAAGCAGTACTTCCTAATTATTGTGTTAATACCCRCTAAGAAATGTTTTCTACTATATATGCTGTTATATATTTTAAATTTTTGCTTCAGAAATGCAAACTAAAACCACAGGTTTTAACCTATCTGTATATTCATCTTTCCTCACAGGAGATGGGACAAG